CGTACAGATAAAACATCAAGCACGTACAGATAAAACATCAAGCACGTACAGATAAACATCAAGCATGAACAGATAAAAATATCAAGCACGTGATAGATAAACATCAAGCATGAACAGATAAAAATATCAAGCACGTACAGATAAATATCAAGCATGGGACAGATGAAAATCAAGCATAAACAGGTAAAATGTCAGACACGGGGTGACATTTTGTCAAGCCATGCTTGATATTTTATCGCACAATGTCTGATAATTATGTCCAACTCGGCTTGCCATACTTTATATTCATTCTGTGTGAAGTATTTGACATTTTTTGCATTAATTTTGAAAAATTCTCTATAAAATACAATATTCAAAATATGATGTATTTATCTTCATGAAACCTGTAGTCCATTAGATTGTCCTTTTTTAAAACATTTATTGATATTTTTATCGTAGAAATGGATCTGTTAAGACAAGAGCTATTTACTACTTTCACACTTTATTCATTCTCAATTTTTTTATGCCTTGTAAGATTAGTGCAAAGGTAATATGGAAGATATGGTCTCAATTCAAAAAATATATCTCTTAATACATAATTAAATAAATATCATTTAAGATAAAAGATAGTAAATAAATTTTCTTTTTGTTTTAAATTTGTTCAATTTAAAATTGTATAATAAAATTTTCGATCCTTCAATGTTTGATCATATACTATTATCTTCTCTATACGTACTATAATAATATGAAATACCTTACATTTCTTTCATTTACCATATTTACTAGACAATGTTCATTTAAACAACCATACAATATTATTATATTTACTTTCCTAGCATAAAGACAAAAAAAGCTTATGTGTGAACTATAATCTGTATCCACCTTGATTTTCATTAATTAAAAATATATTAATTAAAATTTTTATTCCAAAGTCCAAACTAATTTATTTTTGATATATAATTTGGCAATGATTTTTCTATTATAGGTTTGTTGCTATTTATTTTTTTGAAAATACAAAAAAAATATTATATGATCTACTGTAAATAATTTACTTCGCATTTTTCATTTTAACCATTTCGGGTTAGATATATTTTTATGATGATCAGCTGTGCTTACGAACTAGTATACAATAGTAGTACAACTGAAATAGTAAATGTGCGCAATTTATTGGACTTCGTTCAATTCATAATTTTTTTCTTTTTCCCATAATAATTCTGAAATTTATTTTTGAGTAATGTAGTTATTTATTTATATTAACTAAAATTAAAATTATAATCCACAGCTCAATTAATGTGGATGAAACCCCAAAAGATTTATGGAAGAATACTGATGAAGATAAATATCAGGTAATAGCAATTTAATATTTTTAATAATTATAATTATTTTATTGAATTTTTGTAGTTAAAAATATTAATAATTTTTGACTATTAAAAGCTCCATGTTACAATTCCTACTTTTGATTCAACTATTGAATCAGAAAATGTAGATAAAAGTGTAGTCTATATAGGAGATTTAGAAAAAAGAAAACAAGCATATGGAATATGTGGAGAATGTAAAGAACCTGGCACAGGATACATTTGGTGTCAATCTTGTAATGGTAAATGATTTAAAGATAACTCTAAAAATTGGACTAGTGGAAATAAAGATATTGATGAATTTATACGGAAATCATAACTTAATGCTGTATATCATAGAAAATATCTTGAATGGATACCTTTTGAAAAATTTCAAAATATCACTTATATTGCAGAAGGTGGTTTTGGTAAGATTTATTCAGTTGAATGGCCTGAAGAATATATTTATTTTTGGAATATTGAAAATCAAAATTGGTATAGATTCAAGGATAATAAATATGCATTGAAAAGTTTAAATAATTCTTCTGATATATGTTCAGATTTTTAAATGAGGTAATTTAAACTTACTTTGTCTTATATAAAGATTGTTATTTACATTTATTTATTATAAAATTTTTCCTTTTTGATGATAATTAGATTAAATCTCATCTTCAAATTTATCTTTTAGATATTGTTCAATGTTTTGGAATTACTCAAGATCCAAATAATAAAGAGTATATGATGGTTATAGAATATTATAAAAATGGAAATTTGAGAAATTATTTAAATAAATCTAAAAATTATATAGATTATAAATCAAAAAGATGAATTACAACAAATTGCAAGAGGACTTTTAGATATTCATAATGCTGAAAAAGTTCACAAAGATTTTCATTCAGGTAATATATTATTTGCAAGTGTTCCATATATAAGTGATTTAGGAATGTGTCAACCAGCAAATATAAAACAAACAGTTAAAGAAGAAGGAATTTATGGTGTATTACCACATATGGCACCAGAAGTTTTACGTGGATACCAATATACAAAAGCAGCTGATATTTACTTATTTGGAATAATAATGAACGAATTACTTTCTGAAGAAATTCCTTTTAATGATATTCCTCATGATGATTTTTTAGCTATTAAAATATGTAAAGGATTTAGAACAATTTCTAAAGACGTACCAAAGTTACTTACAGATTTGATAATAAATTGTTGGGATGCTAAAATAAAAAATAGACCAATCACTAAAGAATTGTATCAATTATTAAATAAATGGTATGATGAGATTGAAGATATTGAAAATAGTGAAGTTATTGAAGGTAGTGAATATAGTGAATATAGCGAAGATGGTGAAGATGGTGAAGATGTTAAAGATAGTGAAGGTGTTAAAGATAGTGATGTTAAAGATGGTGAGGATGTTAAAGATGGCGAAGATGTTAAGTATGGTGAAGACGTTAAAGATAGTGAAGACGTTAAAAATGGTGGAGACGTTAAAGATGGTGAAGACGTTAAAGATGGTAAAGATGTTAAAGATGGTGAAGATGTTAAAGATGGTGAAGATGTTAAAGATGGTGAAGATGTTAAAGATGGTGAAGATGTTAAAGATAGTGATGTTAAAGATAGTGAAAATTGGGAAAATAGTCAAAATAGTGAAATATATTTTCAGATAACATAATGTGATAAAATTAGAGAAGAAAAATTCAAAAAAAGATCAAATGAAGATAAATCCAGAAACTTCAAAACACATTCACAAGCAATTTATACTAGTAGACTTTTAAATTTCAAAAATCTTCCAAAACCAGTAAATTTTCATTTCAATTCAGTTTAGGTAATTAAATTTAATTTTGCTTTATCATATAGTCCATTTTACATTATTAATGTTATTTTATTTTTTAATAGATGCTAATTATACTGCTTAATCAACAAATCCAAGAAGTATTTTCTTAATCATTATTATCATAATTATTTATCTACATTTGTTAACATTTAAATACTATGAATACATAATATACAGTTTCAGAATGCTTAGATGTTCAAATAAGTGAATTGGGTAAGTTATTATTTATTTGTAATTTACTAATATTTCCTTTCTAATTTATCTAATCTATTTTTTTACAGAACTAAATGAAATTTGTCAAGATAGTGATCATAATATTGAATGAAATTTCTTTTATGTGAAAGTTAGAGTTGAATAGTTTAAATTACTAGTTTGCGTGAAGTTAGTAGTTTTACTTCCATTTTTCTTTCATTTATACTAGTATATTATAGTACATATAAATTTATTGGATTTATATTTAAGAATATTCTATATAAATAAGATTTTCATTATTTGATCGTTTGAATGTAAAACTGTGATATATTTGCAACTGCCAATATTCCACTTAACATATTTATAAAATCATATTAATTATTATGCGTAAAAAAAATAAATAATGTTTGCTAAAGTATTTAAATAATCGATGAGTTTATTTTAATAACATTTTCATTTATTATTTACATTTAAAATTTTTAATATCACTTATTGATGTTTTAAACAGTGAGTTTACCTTTAATAGTTAAATTTAAAGGAATAAAAGGCCATTTTATTAAATGTGATTCTTAATATATAAACTGATAGCCCTTCTGAAGTGAAATAAATAAATAATAAGCTGAGGAAACCTTAATACAATATTACACACATTATAGTTTGGAATGTTATAATGGATTCAAACACTCAATAATTTTGTAATTAATTATTAGTCATACAATTATTAAGTCTATATTTTAGTATTGACAAATAACCGTAGTATTTTATCTACTTGGATAAAGCTATCTATAATCTAAAAAGCGGTACTGATTGTAACAGATTGTAAAAAATAATAATCAGAAATTATTTAAAACACAGCCTATTAATGAGGAACTTTTTTTCGAGATGAAAAGGACTGCAATTAATCATATGATGCTCTATTAAATTATATAAGTGATAATTTCCGCAATTAGCCTAATTGATTTTTATCTCGTGATACAAATCTTAATCTTCACGATAGTCTAAAAATTTACGGTTAGTTCAACTTATTCTATCAATGATTATAAAATACCAACTATCTCCATTCAAATCATTCCATCACATTTTGCTTTTGCGTTAAACATAATAAAGGTAGATATTCGACTTTATTTTATTCATTATCCTAAAAAAAAAAAATTTTTTTTGAACAGAAATAGCTATTTTGAAAATGGATATTCTTTAATCTATAAATAACAACAATAATACTATTTTATACTTTTATATCATGAATACCATAATCATCATCATTAGTGAATAATCTTTATCAGAGGAAAAGTGGGATATACATATATATATGTATAAAAAGATCATAGGTTTACTAAATTCAGTGGATGTGAAAATTGAGAAAATTACATTGGATACTAGTATCATACTAAAATACATGTATTCCAGAAAGATTTACATGAGTATTAGGATTTTTCCTCTATTTAAAACAAATGTTAAACCAAATTTTATAAATAAAAATACAAAATTTTATTTAAAATGGTGTACTAACTCGCAAGTATTCATTAGCAGCTTTAGTTGGAGACTCCTTTGATTCTATTACATATTGCTTAAAGTTCTTTCCAAACCAAATTCTAAAAACAGGTCGTCCATCTGTTTCATATTCAATTTCACATTTTATGGTAGTATGTCGTAAATCTCCTTCTCCTCTACCCGTAACTGAATAATTATCTGAAATTTTAAATTGAATTCCGGTATAGCAAATTATGTTTTTCGAAGGGTAAAAACCTTCTTTAACAATAGTGCATGTATAGTTGGTATTATTTTGTTTGGGTAAAAGGGGTTATTCTCAGGATATTTACTCTGGTTAGAAAATAAAAGATATGAAAGAGATCATATGATTTTTATTTAAAAAAAAATTGTCGCGTTAATTCAAACTTTCACATGTTAGAATTTTATTGGTTGTCAATCATCTGACTGTCCCACTTAAAATTGTAATTATGCAACTTAAATTTTGGAGTGCGTTAAATAAAATAGTAAATCAGAAATTCCAAAAATGCGCGCATATGCTCGAATCATTATCACAAATGCAGTTATAATATACATAATTTATTACATTTCAAACACAAAATTTAGGATAAAGAATTCATGCTTTCAGATTTTTTGTTTAATAAAAGTTATGAATAAGAATAAATAAATTTATAAAGAACTTCACATAAAATGATCTTATTATCTGATATTTTTAAATTACTACCAAACAATTAATTAATTTCCTTTATATAATTAAGTAAGTCAATCACTAAATCAGAATAACTTTGCACTTCGATATTATATAACTTAAATTCGTTCACTTCACCTTTCAATGATATCAATTCCTTAGTATTATAACTAAAACTACCAAATATTGTAGATTCACAGTAAGAGTCACTAATAGCTAAATACTTAACCCTTTTCTTTTTCATAATATAATTTTTAATAGGGGGTAAAATATCTTGACCTTCATTGTTATAGATCAATAATTTTTTAATAAAAGTATCTTGTGAATTTTTTAGAAACACTTCAAAATCATTTGCTTTAATGCAATAAAGACACAAACATAAATATTCTAATTTAGAAGGAAGGATTTGTCCTAAATTTTGTAATATCATTGAACTTGGCCTATTTCCGATTCCAAGATAATCATACCATACATAGATTGAAATATAATTAAGATTTTGTTTAATATTTTCAATTAAATTGAAAATTTGACAAGTAACCTGACTTTCATTTGCACTAAAATAAAGAAAATTAATATTTTTACAATATTTTGTAATTAATTCTATTAGTTGTTGATTTAATGATGGACCAAACCCGAACTTTTCTAAATAATCACCGGATTTTTGTAATAATAATTCTAATGATCCAATTTGTGATTTCTCGTCTATAAGTAAAGATTTCAATTTAAATGGTTTAGTTAAATTATTAATTTGTCGGTTAAAATTATTATCAAAAGAACAATAAAAGATATGAATAGATTCTAAAACATTTAATTGTTCAAATATGTTATTGTTCAAAAATTTAAAATTGACTTTGTAGAATATAATTATATTTAAAGTATTTGAACAATTAAAATCTTTTGATAATAATAATGATCGATATAAAGGAAAACTATTATCACTTATTAAAATTTTTTTAAGATTTTGTTGTAAATTAATAATTTGTGATATACGATTTCTAATCAACTTATATTTACTACTATTGCTGCTGTATGCATAATCAGACGCACTATCAATAAAAAGGTTTATATTTCTAATATTGTGAATGAATTTTGTATTTTTCAAAATTAACTCAAGAATATTATCAAAACATGTGTGATAATAATCATTCAAATTCTCAATTTCAAGAATATGTAAATTTACTTCATTTTCAATGAAAATTTTAAAAATTGTCATACATATATCAATCAATCCTTTAAAATCATATTTTGAATATAATATATCTTCAGGGTTTGGAGTAATAAAAGAAGATTCAAGCCACTCATTAACAGATAAAATAAACTTGTATATATTCAAATATTTTAAAAACTTGGGATAATTGAAAAATAAATTCGAAGGTAATGAATTATTAACAATTTTATATTCATTTAATTTTGTGTTGAAATCATCATCATTTAAATTACGTAAGTAAATTTCAATAAAATTATAGTTTCTGGTACGAATTGAAAATGGATTTTCCCATAATAATGGAATCGCTAAACGACACCATAATCTGTTAACTAAAATGCATGAATGTAAAGTTGAATAATCGTACTGAAAATATTTTATAACTTCATAAGTTAATTCAGGTAAATCTCCTGAAAATATTTTTGAACATGACATATTGTAAATTTGAAAGTAAAGGGGGAGAGGTATTAAATTTTTATTATTATTCCGAACTGGGTAAATTATACCAATTTTCGGAGTGATGATTCCGATATTGTCGCACAATTCATGTGTAACATGTTTCAATGTTTAGTTAGGATAATAATTTTTGTATAGGTTTGTTTTAGATAGGGCTGCACTATGTTATAGTGTTTCGTTGTAAGCTGTTGGAAATGTGTTACCTTTAGATTGCGTTTTCTATGGTTTTCAATAAAGAGAGGTTTTTTTAAAAAAGAAAATATGCATCGATCGGCGGACTCAAAATTATTTTGTAATACCAGTTACCAAAATCATGTGATATATGATCACTTGATTAAATAATGGAGTTCTACGTTAGCGAAATTCAAATTATTAAACATAAATGGGCATATAAAAACTCATTTTGTTAACAAAAAGTCCATTTTTCACTCACAGTAATTTTTGATTTGTATTATTAGAAAGTGAATATGTCTATTAATAAAAATAAAAATTAAATTTATGTAAGTTTAACAATCATAGCCTCATATATAGGTATTTATAAAAAGTATATTCATAGAATCCTTAATTAACTTATATTTAATTAATTGTATAATATAGGAATTTTTTATATTTAAAATTATTAAATTTCCAATTTCTATAAAAAAATTTTGAAGGTATTTCAGGAGCAAATATTAGATTAATTAACATTACCAAAATCATGTTTATTGTATTTTAGTTTAAAACATGTATTATTAAATTATAATTTTATAGAAATCAAATAAACTTTTTTTTAACGTTTGCCCCGGTCAACTACCCCAGCGTAACCACAAAAAAAATGTCACGAAATGACCGGCATTACTGGCACCGGTAATGAAATAAATCGTGAACTTTTGGACATTTATAATTCATTAATTTGAATTATTATAAGTTAATAATGAAATTTCTCATATTACCCTTCTAAAGTTTGGTCCTTACGATAGTTGGCTTATCATTATCACCGGTCTTACTGCGCCTTATATGTATCACTTTGCGTAGCAAAAAGTGAAAAAATCGACATGTTAATACTAGTGAATCAAATACACCGAAATGAAGGAAACCGCCATTACTGTAAGGAGTGTAAGCTCGAAATGTTGTTTAAAAAATTTTATTGTTATGCATCGTCACGTGCTGGACGGATAGTCTTACTGTTGCATACGGTAAATTATTGCTTAAATGCAAAATTTTTAAAGTTCGCACTTAGCAGACACATTCGTAATTTACCTTTACGGATATTTTTTTTTTTTTACCCTTTTATATTGACCTGTTAAAAGTGAGTACCCTATTAAATTATCATTTTATAATTTTTATTAGATAAATAAGTAATTACGGTAATTTTTTACTTTTTTTACTCCTTGCAAATCAGAAGTCAGAAAAGACGTAATTTTTTTTAGCAATTTAATTAATTATTGTATTTATTTTTTATAACACATTTAGCATTTTTAATTTAATAATGTAAAGATTATCATAATTATTCAAAGCGGTAACAGAAAATCATTATGGACCAGTTTTGGACCGATTCATCTCTAATTTATGTAGACCAAAATGGTTATAGTACGTTTCGCCGAAGTTCATTTTGCCGAAAACTATTCTACTGAGGCCATTTCGCCGAAGGGAAGTTTTGCCGAAGGGATCATTTTCGCCGAACGTACATTTCATTGAATGGACATTTCGCCGAATCCTTTCCCGAACCGTCCATTTCATCGAAGGACATTTCGCCGAAAATGTTAGTGATTAACATATCTCCTTGATCATTAACAATTCACTCTTAAAGTACAAATCCTCTGAACTATTTCATTTTCAATTTATGATGATTTTGCTATCTTTTTTTTTAATATACGTGACTTAAAATAATGTATTAAAAACTCGCTTGTTTTCTCAAAAAAAAGAAAAACTAAAAAATTTCATATTTTCAGCGAAATGACCACTCGCAAAATGATCACTCGGGGAAATGACCACTGGGGAAATGGCATTTTGGCGAAATAGAAACTTCGGTGAAATATGACCAAAATGCGGTCCTGGACCGGTCCTGATCAAAAAAACTAATCGTGGACCGGACCGGATCAAAACGGATTGACCCAATAATGGGCCCATTTCCTAACAGTGGAGTTCAAATCTTTAAAATTGTCATGAATAAAAATAAATAATTTGATTTTAGAAAAGTAAATTCATAAAACAATTTTAATTATTCAGTTAACGTACATATAATATTCATCTTACTAATCAATATTTTTTATATAGTTATTAACGCAAATATATAAATCATTATAACTTCGAACTATAATATTATGTAACTTAAATTCCTTCACTTCATCTTTCAAATCAAATAAATCTATTCTACATTCAATATTTTTAATTGCCAAATACTTTACTCTTCTTTCATTCATAATATATTTTTTTATATAATGTAAAATATCATCGCTACCTATTTGCATTATTAATAATTTATTGATAAAAATACCTTGAGAACTTTCTAAGAACACTCTAAAATCACTTTCTTTAATAGTAAGAGTCAAACTTAAATATTCTAATTTAGAAGGAAGAGCTTGTCCTAGATTTTGTAATATATTTGAACTACCTTCAATATTATCATTTGGAGAATAATAGAAATTATTATTACCATATATATCGATTAAAAGATAATTAAGATTTTGTTTGTTATTTTCAATTAAATTGAACATTTGATAAGAAACCTGATTTTCAAATCCATCAAAATAAAGAAAATTGATATTTTTACAATATTTTGTAATTAATTCTAATAATTGTTGATTTAATGATAGATCATAATCAAGTCCATACCCGAAATTTTCTATATAACCACCAGACATTTGTAATAATTGTTGTAATGATTCAATTTGTAATCCACTAGTTATAAATAAAGATTTCAACTTAAATGGTTTATTTAAATTAATAATTTGTTGAATAAAGCCGATATTTAAAGAACAATTATAAAAATGAATAGATTCTAAAACATTTAGCCGTTCAAATATTTTTTTTAGATTGTTAATACCTTTAAAATCGACGTAATAAAAAACGATTGTATTTAAGGTACTTGAACAATTATAATCTTTTGATAATAATAATGTTTGATATAAAGAAATAACATTACGGTTTATTAAAATTTTTTTAAGATTTTGTTGTAAATTAATTATTTGTGATATACGATCCTTAATTTGAGCAATATCTTTACTCAAATCTATATTATGAAGCTTTAAATTTCTAATATTGTGAATGAAATTTATATTTTGTAAAATTAACCCAAGAATATTATTAAGGTTTATATCCCAAAGAATAATATTTGAGCTCTCAATTTCAAGAGTATGTAAATTCACTTCATTTTCAATAAATATTTTAAATAGTGATACACATATATCAACCATTATGTAAAAATCAGTTAAGTATGATATATTTTCGAGGCTTGCAGTTTTAATAGGAGATTCAAACCATTTCTCAACAGAAAACATAAAATTTTGTGTATTCAAATATTTTAAAAATCTAGGATAATTGAACAATGTATTCGAAGGGAATGATTTATTAAAAAGTTTATATTTATTAAATTTTGTTTTAAGATCATCAGTTGAATTATGTAAGTAGATTTCAATAAAATTATAGTTTCCAGTAGGAATTGAAAATGGATTTTCCCACAATAATGGAATCGCTAAACGACACCATAATCTGTTAACTAAAATACATGAATGTAAAGTTGAATAATCATTCTGAAAATATTTTATAACTTCATAAGTTAATTCAGGTAAATCTCCCGTAAATATTTTTGAACATGTCATATTGTAAAATTGAAAGTAAAAGAGAGAGGCATTAAATTTTTATTATTGTACCAAATTTGGTAAATTATACCAATTTTCGGAATTATGATTCCGATATTGTCGCACAAATAACTGTGTCAATAATTAGGCGCAGTTCAATTAAAATTATGCCCGTAGCTATGTATTAATTTAAACCAAATTTTGTTTTTATTGCTTAGCTAGTTAAATAATTTTTGCTATGTTTATAGACTAGTGAAATTATACATTTATACATACCGTTTAAAATTGTATACTATCGTCACGTGCCAAACGGAAAATTTTAACGTAACTTTGTATTACTAATCTAAAAATCAATAATTTTTTACATGTATTCGACAATATTTTAAAGAAAGAGGTAATTATTTTGGAATATTTTTTCCCGAAGGAAAAAAACCTGGTGTTCCCTTTCCCATGAAATAATGGGTAATCTCCCGGAGCGCGTGCCACTCATTAAATATAGCATGTGATTAACTATTTAACTATTTTAATATTTTAAACTAAAATTAGAGATTTCTCGGCTAATTATATGTGACGGGTAAGAAGAAAAGGAGTGGTGTCGGGTTAACCAAAAAAGTATTGTATGGTGTGAAATCGATATTGAGTATGATTTAGATAATAAAACTATACTCAACTTATATTATCGAACGAAAAAAGTATTGTATTTATTTTTTTTTCTAGGAAAAAATAAAAGGGTCTTTGTACATCGATAATCCTAAGCAAATTAATTATTATTAAAGTTACATAGCAGTGCCAACGCAGATAAATGAGTGTCGATCTCTGTTTTAAACTATGTTAAAACTACGCCTGATTATTGAAGCATGTCACACAATTAATTGTGCGACAATATCGCTCCGAAAATTGATATAATTTACTCAGTTCAGCGTAACAATAAAAAAAATTTTTTATTACCTCTCTCCTTTTCACTTTCAATTACAATATGACATGTTCAAAAATATTTTCAGGAGATTTACCTGAATTAACTTATGAAGTTATAAAATATTTTCAGAATGATTATTCAACTTTACATTCATGTATTTTAGTTAACAGATTATGGTGTCGCTTATCGATTCCATTATTATGGGAAAATCCTTTTTCAATTTATGCCAAAAACCATAATTATATCGAAATTTACTTACTTTATATAAATGATGATCTTAAAACAACATTTTATAAATATAAAGTTATTAATAATTCATTACCTTCGAGTACACTTTTCAATTATCCTAAATTTTTAAAATATTTGAATACATATGAGTTTATATTTTCTGTTCGGAAATGGTTTGGATCTCCTATTAAATACATAAACCTCGAAAGTATATCATACTTAACTGATTTTTACATAATGATTGATATATGTGTATCATTATTTAAAATATTTATCGAAAATGAAGTAAACTTACATACTCTTGAAATTGATAGTACAAGTATCATTTATGATTCTATTTATCCTAGTAATATTCTTGAGTTAATTTTACAAAATACAAATTTCATTCACAATATTAAAAATTTAAAATTTCATATTATAGATAATAATAGAAATATTGCTCTAATTAAAGATCGTATATCACAGATAATTAATTTGCAACAAAATCTTAAACAAATTTTAATAAATCGGAGTGGTTTTCTTTTATGTCAATCATTATTTTTATCAAAAGATTATAATTGTTCAAATACTTTAAATACAATCGTTTTCTATTACTGCGATTTTAAAGGTATTAACAATCTACAAAAAATATTTGAACAATTAAACGTTTTAGAATCTGTTCATATCTTTTATTGTAGTTCTTTAAATACTGACTTTACTCAACAAATTATTAATTTAACAAAACCATTTAAGTTGAAATCTTTATTTATAAAAGAGGTATTACAAATTGAATCACTACAACAACTATTACAAAAATCTGGCGGTTATATTGAAAATTTCAGGTATGGATTTTATCTTAATCCATCATTAAGTCAACAATTATCAGAATTAATCACAAAATATTGTAAAAATATCAATTTTCTTTATTTTGGTGGACCAGAAAGTAAGAGTGTTTATCAAATGTTCAATTTAATGGAAAATATTAAACAAAATCTTAATTATCTTTTAATTGATATAAGTGAATATACTACTATTTCTCCTATTATTAGTACTAGTTCAATCATATTACAAAATCTAGGACAAGTTCTTCCTTCTAAATTAGAATATGTAAGGTTGGCTCTTAATATTAAAGAAAGTGATTTTAGATTATTCTTAGAAAATTCTCAAGATATTTTTATCAATAAATTGTTTATAAAACAAAGCGGTAGTGATGATATTTTACATTATATAAAAGAATATATTATGAAGGAAAGAAGAGTCAGATATTTGGCAATTAATATTGAAAATAGAATAGATTTATTTGATTGGAAAGATGAAGTGAAGGAATTTAAGTTATATAATATTATAGTTCGAAGTTGTAATGATTTATATATTTACGTTGATAACTATATAAAGAATATTGATTAGTTATAAAAATAAATATCATCATATGTAGTAAGTTAACTGAATAATTAAATTTACTTTACTAAATTTACTTTTTAAAATAAATTGCTTATTTATTTATTAATATGAATTATTGAAAAATTATTTTTTTATTCATGGCAATTTTAAAAATTTGAAATCCATTATTAGGGAATGGACATATAGTTGGATCAATCTGGTCCGGTCTAGAGGTTGGAACCGGTTAAGCTTAACCGGTTAATTAACCGGTTAAAACGGAACCGGTTAAAACATTTGTTAACCGGTTAAAAAACAATTTTTAACCGGTTAAATTAACCGGTTAAATTAACCGGTTAAATTATCCGGTTAAATTAATCGGTTAAATTAATTGGTTAATTTAACCGGTTAAAATGCTGAAAATATTTGTAATTCTGGCCAAATTTACAGTGCCGGCCAGAATTATAAATCACGGGACTTCGGATAAAAGTTTAGCCACCAGGTAAGATACCAACGGAGATGTGTATAAGAGACAGATGTTATAGTGTTTCGTTGTAAGCTGTTGGAAATGTGTTACCTTTAGATTGCGTTTTCTATNATTTTGGCCTGAATTTAGTCTTTCAGCTAGAGTTTCGTTTCGATAGTTAGAGTTTTGGTCTGGCCTAATTTTGGCCGGGATTAAAAATATATTTGATGCTAATCCTGGCCGAATTTTTATTCTGACTAGGATTGAGTTTTAACCGGTTAATTAACCGGTTAAAGGTTTGGTTAACCGGTTATTAACCGGTTAAGACTTTTTGGACCGGTTCCAACCTCTAGTCCGGTCCATGACCCTTTTGGTCTAGATCATTATTATTAATAAAAATTAGAGTCGAAAACTGGTCCTTAATATTTTTCTATTGCCTCAGCTTAATTCTAAATAACTATAATCTTACACAATTGGTAAAGGAAATTTGAAATATAAAATAATTAATTCAATAAATTAAATGTTTAAATAATTAATTTAGAATAAATAAAATAAATAATATTATAATAATTAAATATATGTTAAGTTCGTTAAATTCAGTTTGTTAAGATGAATTTAAATCAACATAATTATTTTTGCAGTGTCATCATTTTCTAGCTTCTATTCCAGAAAAATCCAGACATGTGATCAATTTTCTTTTTTTTTTTTTAGAACAGCAGCGCGTTTATTAATTATGTAACAAAATTACAAAGAAAATCATGAATACATAATACAAAACACTTAGAAAGAGGCAAAAAAATTCCTACATTTCTCTACTGAGCTTGATCTAGTCTAAAAAATTACTTATGATAAATCTAAAAAAAAAATTAAATTTGTCAATTTTAAAAATCTATCTATTGTAAATTTTTTTATTATTTTCTTATGTTTTCTGAAATTTTCTGTATTTTTCTAAACGCTAGAATACTAAGATATTGACATAAAAAATAAATTTGTAAATCATCCCTATAAAAATTGTGAAGAAAAAAAAACTAAACAAATAAAATAAAAACAAAATTAACATTGATACATTAAGAAATACAAAATCTTAAAATCTAAGCTCTTGATAGAAATGTATCTGAAATCAGATGAAAAACCATATTCATATAAGTGTTTTCTTTACCAAATCTAAGCGTAAATCCCAAGACCTTGATCCTAAATTTGTTTGGTTAAGTCAGACAAATTTGTTTATTCGCTATCGGAATCGTTCCTTTGTATTGTCACTACGCGTTTTTTGTTTTTGTTAAACTTGTCTTTTTCTTTACTAGACGTTCCTTCTTGTATTGTGTCATCTTGCTTTTTCTTCTCCAAACGTTCACTGAATTTGTTATTTAAATCATCGAGTTCTTCATGTTCTTCTTTACTCCTAGGTATCGTGGAAAGTAGACTTGATAGTGCATCTACAAATTTATCACCCTTAGATGTTGTATGTGTAGGCACAATAAACTTGTTGATCCCTGTCCTTTTCTTATATACTCCGTCCTTTCCTATTAATTCGTCTTGGCTTTTCATTTGTAAACCTTTTCCCAAATCTTCCTCCATTGTGGATCTGTAAATTTCCTATAATAGATCTTTTTCATAGTTAAAATATATCAAAATATATTTAATTTTGATTTTGATTGTTTTGGCAAAATGTCTACCGTATTCATTGATATACCCTTTCACTAATTCAAAACCTTGTTTTTCATTTTCTTTCTCATCTAACTTTCTAATAAGTATCTCCCTCTTATTCTTGTTGCATCCAAATTAGCGTCAAACATCCTGAAAAAGTACGTTCGTTCATTTTTTGATAAAGCTATATTTGATCCTCCTTTTAGAAATTGCTCTTCCATTTCTTTTTGTTAGACGGATTTTAGCTCGAACTGTTCTGTACTTATAATTCCATTTGACCTCCAATTTCTCTACATATCCAACTTTTTTCAACATCTCTTAAATCTCAGCATCCTTCCAATAAGCCACGTGATTGGCAAAATATTTATCCAAATAATTATCATCGAAAGTTGTTTGAACCAGAATTTCATCGATCTTCCTTTTTTTAATTCTTGTGTCGATGATTTCTTTTTGGACTTTTGGCGCCGCTTGTTGGCATTTAGTCTTACTTTCTGGTTTACTAGTTTTGGAATTTCTACTCGCTTTTTGTTTCTCTTCTAAATTTTCATCCTTTTTTTCTTGTAATTTAATTCGTTCCTTTGTTATTACTTCCATTTCTTTATCTTGCCCTTGAGTTCATTTATCTCTTCCTTTTGTAGTTCTATTAAACGTGTCTTATCTTCTAAATCTTTTTCTAAGGAACGCTTCTTTTCTTTCCAGTCTTGTAATAATTTTTTGTTATGTGGTTGAGAAGAATTTATTGGTTCATTTGTTGCTGAGCCTTCAGAAAAATTCTCACGAACTATTCTTCGAATATCGTCCTTAATGTTTCGCTACCTACTTTATGGTAAATAAAACTGCGTTAAAGACAGTAAGTCGCTTATTTGTACGCTCTTTGGCTGCTATTTTCTTCAAAAAACAACCTGGTCGGAAAAAAGGATTGTCTCCTAGTAAATTTTTTGTTCATATGTTGTTAAACTAAATTTAATATCATCTTCGTCGTTGTCAATATCATAAAAGTTGAATAAATGATTGTGTTCTAGTCCCTCAAAGCCGTCAAATAAGCTCTTATGTATTTTGTTATACTCTTTCCGTTCAGTAAAACTTTGACGTCGGTCATTTTGTAAGTTTTTATGTATTTTATATAGTAAAATTTGTTTTATTCTTCCGCTAAAATTTTGGTTTGAAAGATCAGTGGAAAGAGTTCGTTCTCAAAAATATCAGCACGCTTTTCTAAAATTTTTTATAGGGCTTCAGGCTAGAAGACTTCATTGACCCTTATTTTACAACCTGGCCCGAACCGGACTAAACCATTATTATATCAATTTGTTGTAAAAACAAAAAAAATCGACCAACGGGGTGATCAACTTAATTTTTACCACGTTAGTGATGTTACACACAACGAATTGTGCAACAATATCGGTATAATTTACCCAGTTCGGCGTAACAATAAAAAATTTTTTTGTTACCTCTCTGATTTTTTTGTTACCTCTCTCCTTTTCACTTTCAATTACAATATGACATGTTCAAAAATATTTTCAGGAGATTTACCTGAATTAACCTATGAAATTATAAAATATTTTCAGAATGATTATCCAACCTTACATTCATGCATTTTAGTTAACAAATTATGGTGTCATTTAGCGATTCCATTATTATGGGAAAATCCTTTTTCAATTTATGTTAAAAACCATAATTTTATCGGAATTTACTTACATAATATAAATGACGATCTTAAAACAAAATTTTATAAATATAAAGTTATTAATAATTCATTACCTTCGAGGACACTTTTCAATTATCCTAAATTTTTAAAATATTTGAATACATATGGGTTTATATTTTCTATTCAGAAATGGTTTGAATCTCCTATTAAAACTGCAAGCCTCGAAAATATATCATACTTAACTGATTTTTACATAATGATTGATATATGTGTATCATTATTTAAAATATTTATCGAAAATGAAGTAAATTTACATACTCTTGAAATTGATAGTACAAGTATCGTTTATGATTCTATTTATCCTAGTAATATTCTTGAGTTAATTTTGCAAAATACAAATTTCATTCACAATATTAAAAATTTAAAACTTCATATTATAGATAATAATAGAAATATTGCTCTAATTAAAGATCGTATATCACAGATAATTAATTTACAACAAAATCTTAAAAAAATTTTAATAAATCGGAATAGTTTTCTCTCATGTCAATCATTATTTTTATCAAAAGATTATAATTGTTCAAATACTTTAAATACAATCGTTTTCTATTACTGCAATTTTAAAGGTATTAACAATCTACAAAAAATATTTGAACAATTAAACGTTTTAGAATCTGTTCATATCCTTTATTGTGGTTCTTTATGTACTGACTTTATTCAACAAATTATTAATTTAACAAAACCATTTAAGTTGAAATCTTTATTTGTAAGTGAGATATTACAAATTGAATCATTACAACAATTATTACAAAAATCTGGTGGTTATATAGAAAATTTCGGGTACTGTGGACTTTATTTTACTACATCACTAAGTCAACAATTATTAGAATTAATCACAAAATATTGTAAAAATATCAATTTTCTTTATTTGAGTGGATATGAAAGTCGGATTGTTTATCAAATGTCCAATTTAATTGAAAATATTAAACAAAATCTTAATTATCTTTTAATTGATATAAGTGAATATAGTTCTCCAAATGGTAATATTGAAGGTAGTTCAAATATATTACAAAATCTAGGACAAGCTCTCCCTTCTAAATTAGAATACATAAGGATGGCTTTTACTATTAAAGAAAGTGATTTTAGAGTATTCTTAGAAAATTCTCAAGATATTTTTATCAATAAATTGTTAATAATACAAAATGGTAGTGACGATATTTTACATTATATAAAAGAATATATTATGAAGGAAAGAAGAGTCAGGTATTTGGCAATTAAAAATATTGAAAATAGAATAGATTTATTTGATTTAAAAGATGAAGTGAAGGAATTTGAGTTACATAATATTATAGTTCGAAATTATACCGATTTATATATTACCGTTAATAACTATATAAAGAATATTGATTAATTATAAAGATGAATATCATATGTATGTTAACTGAATAATTAAATTTACTTTACTAAATTTATTTTTTACAATAAATTGTTTAATTATTTTTTTATTCATGACAATTTTAAAAATTTGAAATCCATTTTAGGAAATGAACATAGAGTTGGATGAATCCGTTCTGGTCCGGTGATTCCGGTCCGGTCCAGGACCACTTTTGGTCTAATCTTTATTATGATTATATGATATTAATAAAAATTAAAAATGAATCGATCCGAACTTGGTCGAAAAAACTGGTCCGTAATATTTTTCTATTGCCGCAGCTTAATTTCTAAATAATTATAATCTTACACAATTAGTAAACGAAAATTTAATGTAAAATAATTAATTCAATAAATTAAATAATTAAATAGAATAAATAAAATAAATAATATTATAAAAATTAAATAAATGTTAAGTTCGTTAAATTTGTTAAGATGAATTTTAAATTAACATAATTATTTTTGCAGCGTCATCATTTTTCTACTAGTTTCTGGCTATTCCAGAAAAATCCAGACATGTGATTAATTTTCTAAAAATTTTTTATAGAGCTTCAGGCCTTATTTTACGACCCGGCCCGGCCCGGCCCGGACTATTATACCAATCTGTTGTAAATTGACCAACAGGTGACCGTGAGGTGATCAACTTAATTTTTACCACGTTAGTGACGTTACACAATTAATTGACACGAATTGTGCGACAATATCGGAATCATCACTCCAAAATTGGTATAATTTACCCAGTTCGCCCAGTTAAAAATTTAATACTTCTCCTCCTTTTACTTTCAAATTTACAATATGTCATGTTCAAAAATATTTTCAGGAGATTTACCTGAATTAACTTATGAAGTTATAAAATATTTTCAGAATGATTATTCAACTTTACATTCATGCATTTTAGTTAACAGATTATGGTGTCGTTTAGCGATTCCATTATTGTGGGAAAATCCATTTTCAATTCCTACTGGAAACTATAATTTTATTAAAATTTACTCACATAATTCAAATAGTGACTTTAAAACAAAATTAATTGAATATAAAATTATCAATAGTAGTTCATTACCTTCGAATACACTGTTTAATTATCCTAGTTTGTTAAAATATTTGAATATAAATAAGATTATTTTCTCTGTTGTGAGGTGGTTTGAAGCTACTATTAGAACTTCAAACCCTGAAAATGGATTAAATTTAGGATTTAATTTTAACAGAGATATATGTGTATCACTTTTTAAAATTTTCATTGAAAATGAAGTAAATTTACATACTCTTGAAATTGAGTTCTCAGATGTTACTCATATTTCTACATATTTTAATAATCTTAACAATATTTGTGAGTTAATTTTACAAAATACAAATTTCATTCACAATATTAGAAATATAAATCTTTTTATTAATAATTTATTTGATTCTTCATACAGCGATAATAATAAATATAAGTTAATTGAAAATCGTATATCACAAATAATTAATTTACAACAAAATCTTAAAAAAATTTTAATAGGTAGTAATAGTTTTCCTTTATATCAATCATTATTATTATCAAAAGAATCTAATTGTTCAAATACTTTAAATACAATTACATTCTATAAAATCAATTTCAATTTTTCGATCAATAATATATTGGAACAATTAAATGTTTTAGAATCTATTCATATCATTTATTGTTCTTTTAATAGTAATTTTGCTCAACAAATTATTAATTTAACCAAACCATTTAAGTTGAAATCTTTACTTATAAATGAGAAACCACAAATTGAAGTATTGGGATTATTATTACAAAAATATGGTGATTATTTAGAAAATTTCGAGTATGTATTTAATCATGATTTATCATTAAATCAACAATTATTGGAATTAATCATAAAGTATTGTAAAAATATCAATTTTCCTTGTTTTAATATATATGAGAGACTGATTACTTATCAAATATTGAATTTAATTGAAAATATTAAACAAAATCTTAATTATCTTTCGATTAATATATGGTATGACTATAATGGAAAAGGAGGTAGTTCAACCATATTACAAAATTTAGGGCAAATCCTTCCTTCTAAATTGGAATATTTACTTTTGGGTCTTCATCATATTAAAGCAGATGATTTCAAAGTGTTTCTAAAAAATTCTCATGATACTTTTATCAAAAAATTATTGATCTATAACAGTCAAGGTCAGGATATTTTACCCCTTATTAAAAAATATATCATGAAAAAGAAAAGGGTTAGGTATTTGGCTATTAATAATTATTTCTATGAATCTACATTTGATAGATATGGTGATAATATTAAGGAATTGATTTCATTGAAAGATGAAGTGAAGGAATTTAGGTTATATAATATTGAAGTCCAGAGTTATTCTGGTTTAGTGATTGACATGCATAATTATATAAAGGAAATCAATTGATTGTTTGGATAGTAATATTATTATTAAAGTTACTTATAAATTTACTTATATTCATTGTTAATAATAAATATAAAATATTTTTATTGTTTTTATTAAACAAAAATCCGAAATCATTAATATAAACAAGCATGAATTCTTTATCCTAAATTTGATAATAAATTATGCATAGTATACTTATTGAAGTGTCATTATGCTTTATTTGTTAATATAAATATAGTATTGATTTTACGTTAAAGAAAAAAGTTAATTATTATTCCGCAGCAGTAAGCTTTATTCACATTAGACTATTAAAAAAATTGAATTTATTTATTCGTTTAATAATAGTTAAAAATAAAATTTTACCAATACTATATTGTCGTCAGTGATGATATTCATGAGTTTTTTTTTTGAATCTTCAAGAATTTTTTAAATTGAAGCATGTATTTTATCAACTCTATAATACTATAAAATTCTGTAATATAAAGATTTGCTACAATGAAAAATCTTAATTTTTATTCCATTCCTGTTATAGTCAGTTGTAGTCATTATTAGCAAAACTGATGAGAAGTTCTTAATGAAGTCACTATACTAATTGTGGGTAGATCAAGATTTTCTTAAGTTATAGGTTATGGCTTGAGAAAATGTGAAAGTTTGATTCAATAATTATAATTTTTTTTTAAGGAAAAAATAAGCGTTTATTAAATTCTTCTTCGCAGTAGTACAACTGATTTGAAAATCGATAATAAAATCAAAAGAGTCTTTCTCGTTCCACGTAAAAAAAATATTATTTTCGCGTGTAGAGGATAATATTTCGTTTATGAAGTTACTCACTCAAAAGAAAAATATTATCCCCACTTGTTTTACACGAAAAATATTATTTCCTACTTATAAAATTATTAAAATATTATCTTTACTCATTGTTTCACGCGAAAAATATTATCTCGCACTATAACTATGGATATTAATTTTGTTAATAAAAAAGATGTTGAGGATCATATTGAGGTACTTTTATATGAATATTAAGTTAATTATAAAAAATATTATAACATATTATTATAACCAAGTGATTGTAAAGACAATAATAAAGAGAATAGGTTGGCTTTAAAGCTTAAAGAGCTTAAATATCGGGAAAAAGATTTAGCATTAAAAGAATGTGAACTTGCTTTAAGGGAATGTGAAGCAAAAATTCGTGTAATAAAATTGTCTAATTGTGAAAAAGAGCGTAAATTAATTATTAGGAAATAGTATTAATTAAAAATATTTTAAAGATGAAAAATTTTGCTTATCAACCGGGGTAAATTTCTATTTGTCAACCGCTAAATTTTGACCAATCAGAGTAGATCATATGCAATATTGGCGAATACTCCGGCGACCGAGCTCGAATTACACTAGCTCTAATTACTAGTGTAATTCGAGCCATTATTTTAAAGATTTATTGCCATTTTCAGAAATGTTGACAATCTGAAATTTTGACCATTTTATACCGAACACACCGAACACACCGTGAACACATACAAAAAATTATGCAAACTTGAAGTATTCATGCATAACTTTATATAAAAACTATTTTTGTCACTTTTTAGATATGAATAAAATTGAAATATGAAAATTTGTACCGAACACACACCGAACACAAACGAACACACCGAACACACCGAACATTGGCAAATACAAGCAAATACAAGTGAATACATATATGTAAATAATATAATTTTTATACATTTTTTTTTGCACACTACCTAAAAATATATTACTAAAGTTTTAATTTTGCTTTTTTTAAAGGAAAATTTGTTTTTTTTTTAATTTTAATTGCTGTGTTCGGTGTGTGTTCGGTGTGTTCAATTTATAGAAATGATCAACATTCTAATGTCAACATTTCTGAAAACGGCAATAATAAATATAATTCAAAGTTTGCAAATTTAAAATTAGAGACACTTGTTAATTAAAATTGAAAGCAATAGTTACAAATATTATTCATTACAATGATTAGTGTACGAATAAACAAACAAATTAACATCACAATTAACCAGCAGTACATGTTTTTGCATAATGTCCTATTTCATGATAATTCTTACAGCGCTTAAAGTTTTACTTTCTCGATTTTCATGAGAATTCTCAAATGGCGCACCTGCTATTGTATTAGTTTTGTCAAAGCAGTATTGCGCTTATTACCCACAATGGAAGACTTAATCCTTTTATGTGTTACCCGACCCTTATGTCTTTTTTATTCTGGCGGAAGAATATCATCAGTACTATCCAAATCATCAACACTATGAAGTTAAATTGTAGTTTCACCTTCTTGTTGTCGATTGAGTTCCTTTTTAATAATCCATTGATTAATAGTATTATAAAGAATAGAGTCTTCATCATAAACCGCATTCTTGAGTGCTTCTTTAAAAACACTGGAAATTTTCCCATATAGATCTCTTATTTGCCTTGCCTTTGCCTTTACTTTTTCTTCATCATTATTCATATCACCACGAATTTGAAACACAATACTGTTTGTCATATAGTTAGTTTCGGCTACATGATCTCCTTGAGTTGTTATAAAGGGTTCATTAGCAGAATTATCAAAGAAAAAAGTTCTCTTGATAGACAAAAATTCTTCAGGAATATTAATATTATTAATATTGTTCGTTCATGTTAAAAATGTTTGAAAGAAAAAAGAAATTTAATATGGTTTTTATTAAGGGAGTGAAACGGACAAGAAAGAAAGCAGTAAAAAAAGATCTGATAGATAAACTATTTGATCAATAATATTTAACTATTGATAAGCGGCTAGTGCAAGCCACCCATGTGATCGAATACTTATCAATCATCTTCCCCAGTAACACCATCAAAAAAAGCTCGGGCATGTGATTTTTGAGCATGTGATTTTGTAACATACGGCGCAGTTTGTGGTTACTGATCTATTTAAATATTTATCGCGTATTATTTAAGCTATTATTTAAGCTTTCTTTTCGCGTCTACATTACCAAATACCAAGAATACAAATTTATTTTTAAAACAAAAGGTTGGCTTATTTTCTTTACAATGGCTATAAATCTTTTAAAACAAAACTTGCAGAAAATATGAAACCTGTAGAAATACCAAGTAAGCAATAATACCAGTTCAACAAACTAAATTGCAACTGTTATTTTGACAGCCTAATTAATGCAACCTTCTCTTCTAAAAGAGCAAAACTAGTCTGTATTATAGTAGTAAGGAAGTCATATTGTCCTATTAATACAGTAAATTAGGTGAAGACGTTGAACATTATCAAATAAGTGAACCATGCCATTAACATGGAAGGGGCATACTGATATCACTCATTATTTACAATAATTTATTTTAAATTAACAGTTAATGTATTTTAATAAATTGAAATTGAATAAATTTTATTGTTAAATTAATATTACATTCTATTTTAATAAAATAATTACTCAAATTTCATTAATTTAAAAGATTTTGTTTTACTCTTATGAATTAACATCTATAAAATTTCATTATATTCTCAAGCAATCATCTTTGGAGTGGAGTATCTTAGGGTAAGCCGGAAAAGTTAGTTTAGGCCGAAATACTTATCTTTAAAGATAACATTGACGTTGGAGTATCTTAGGGTTAGGGTAAGGAAAGTTGATTTAGGCGGAAATACATATCCTTGAAGATAAAGTAGATGTTGGAGTTTCTTAGGGTTAGGTAAAAAAAGTTGGTTTAGGCTGAAACTTTTACCTTTGGAGTTAGTTAGGGTTAAGTAGCAATAGCTGCGTAGTGCAATTTCAATAGCCACATGAATCACGTGCCCGAGCTTTTTTTGATGGTTACGCTGGGGGAGTTTTATCAATCCCGTTTATGACAACAATTTTTCTTTAAAGATTTTAATAAAAAATTCATGATAAAATTTACTATTCAATTTTAACTTTGGCGGTCGAGTATAAATTACAAATAATTATGCCAATTTTCGAAGTGATGATTCCGTTATTGTCGCACAATTCGTATCAATTAATCGTGGGCGCAAAACTTTATATTTTTGTTTAGATAGCACTATGTTATTGCTTTATCGTATAAGTGTATATTTTCATATGCTTAAGTCGTCGATACCTTTAGTTGATGGTTTTCAATAAAAAGTTTTTTTTTTTTAAAAAAAAAAAGAAAAAAGAAATTGTTGTTAAGCTTGAAGTAGAGCTGCAAACGACCCGGAAACCCGGGCCCGGATCCGAGTTTGGGTCGGAAAATTTACTTTCAAAATTATGATTTTTCGTTAAACCCAGATTTTCGTAATTCTGGTCAAATTCTTAAATTTAATTTATATAACCAATAACCAATCATACATATTTATAAAATATAATGTTCACAAAAAAAAAAAAAGAATAAAAGAATAATAAATTATATTAATTTTTTAATTAATTCATTTTACCCAAATATTGATCTTGTACCATATTATAATAAATTCCTTTTTTAGTTAATAATTCTTGATGAGTACCTTCTTCAGCTACTTTACCATCTTTTATAACGAAAATAATATCAGCATGTTGAATTGTTGATAATCTATGTGCTATCGCTAATGTAGTTCTACCTTTTGCAGCTTGATCCAAAGCTGCTTGTACAACTTTTTCTGACTCAGAATCTAAAGCTGAAGTCGCTTCATCTAATAATAAAATTTTTGGATTCCGTATTAAAGCTCTTGCAATTGCGATTCTTTGTTTTTGTCCTCCAGATAATTGAGTTCCTTTATTACCAACAGGAGTATCATATCCATCTTGTAAGTTAATAATAAAATCATGAATATTAGCTTCCTTACAAACTCTTTCAATATCTTCTTGCGTTGGTTTTTGATCTGTATTACAACCAAATAAAATATTTTCTTTTATGGTCATATCATATAAAGAAGGTTCTTGACTAACAACTGAAATATTTTTTCTTAAATTATTAACATTTAAAGTACTTATACAAACTCCATCTAATTGAATTGTTCCACTCATCACATCATAAAATCTTTCAATTAATCCTATTGTAGTACTTTTACCACATCCTGATGGTCCAACCAATGCAGAAAATTGACCTGGTTCAATGTTTAAATTAAGTCCATTAAGTACTGGTACATTTTGACGTGTAGGATAACGAAAATAAACATTAGAAAATTTGATATGTCCTTTAATATCATCAATATTTTTTCCACTTTGAGACCAAGAATCTATTTCTGGAATATTTTCAATTAATTTTACAATAGATTCTGCTGAAATTTTTGCTTTTGTTATATTTGGTGCGAAACTAAAAATACGTCCACTTGACATCGCTCCATAAAGTACTAAAAATTAAAAACGTTTTATTTTTTAAGTTGTATGATATTTGACAACTTGATATGCAATAAAATCATGAAATATATATATTACCTGCCGTAAACACAGCATAAAATTTGTATAAATCATATTCTTATATTATACATACCAAATGAGTTCCATACCAAAATGCTAAAGCATTACCTAGAAAATTTATACTAGATGCTGAACCATAAATTAGACTACCAAAAATTGCATTATGAAGTCCTTCTTTCATTGGACCATCCAACATATTACTATATATTTTTAATAAATCTTCTTCTCTTGTTAAAGAAGCAACAGTACGAATATTAGATGTTCCCTCGCACGCTATTTGTGCAGATTTTTCATAAATCTTTAGTGTACGTGATTTGAATCCCGCCATCATCTTAAATTTAAAATAACCGGCGACCATTAATATAGGTACCGTTGTTAATATTACAAGTGTTAACTTCCATCCAATTATTAATGCAACTATAATTCCCACTATAATTGTAGCAAGAATTCGGGAGATAGAACCAAGAGCAGTAGCCAGTCCACCAATATCTGTAACATTCGATGTTAATACACTAATTAAACCACCAACATTATTATCTTCTTTATCAAAGAAACTAATATCTTGTCTTAATATTGAAGAAAATAATGTTGAACGAATTCGAAGAACGAGATTTTCTCCGGCCAATCCGAGACATAAACCTTCAATAAAACTACATGTCATAATAACAAAACCGATAGCAACTAAAAAAAATTATAAATAAATAATTATAATCAAATATATATATATATGAAGATTCTAACTGCTTATATAAATACATTAAATTAATAACTTACGAAACATAAGTGACCAAAATGTTGAATCCTTTCGTAATTCATCTTTAGGTTTCGTAAAAGAATTTATAACTTTTGCATATATAATAGAAAATACCGGAAAGGCCGTGCCACAAATAAGTGAAGCAGCTATTCCAATAAATAGTAAATATCGTTGCGAACCATTAATTTTATTAATTTTTCTAATTAATTCCCAAGTTGAATAACGATTATATTCCGTATTATATCCTTTTTCAGTATCATTATATTCATCAATACCGGATTTTGACGATCTATTTGTAATAACTCTTGTAAGTGTACAATCTTTTTCAATAATAATAGAATCTTCTTCTTCAAAGTCTTTTGATTTTGATTCTTCTTCATGAATTTTTTGTGCTGAAACTAATTTTGAATAAGCTCCTTCTGGATTTTGAATCAATTCATCATGATTACCAACTTCAATAATTTCACCATTATTCATTACAACGATTTTTGTAGCATTACGTATGGTAGATAATCTATGAGCTATAACTATTGTAGTTCTATCTTTTGAAGCTTTATCTAAAGCATCCTGTACAACACTTTCACTTTTAGTATCAAGTGCACTAGTAGCTTCATCTAATAATAAAACTTTTGGATCTTTTATGATCGCTCTTGCAATTGCAATACGTTGTTTTTGTCCTCCTGATAATAAAAATCCTCCTTCTCCTACGTTTGTTTCATATTTATCAGTTAATTCCATTATAAAATCATGAGCATTTGCCATTGTACAAGCTTGTACGATCATTTCATGTTTTTTATTTTCATCAATATTTTCATAAATTGATCCTATTAATCCATGAGCTACATTTTTCGCAATTGTAGTATTAAAAAGAACGGGTTCTTGACCCACGAAACTCATTTGTCTTCGAAGCCATTTTAAATTAAGTCCTTTGATAGCATGATCATCAAATAAAATTTCTCCTTCGATAGGATCATAAAAACGAAGAACTAGTGATACAATCGTACCTAGGGATGAAAAAAAAAAATTTTTTTTTTTTTAAGTAATTGAAACGATATTTATGAATAAAAAAATAAAATATTAATAAAAATAAATAAATAAATTACTTTTGCCAGAACCGGATGAACCAACTAATGCAACAGTAGTTCCAGGTTCTATATCCAAAGATATATTCTTCAAAGTTTTTGTTTCGGGGCGTGAAGGATAAAAAAATGAGAGATTCTTTAATTGAATTCGACCTTTAACATTATCTAATTTATCGCCTTCCTCCGATTCAATATTTATTGGGGGAATTCTTTCTATTGTTTCATAAATTTTTGCTCCAGCTCCTTTAGCGCTATTAATTGCCATAACATCAGGCATAATTTGAGCAATGGAAAAACTTCCTATTAATACCGCGAAGAATACGCTAACAACCTATATACATATAATGCAGATTAATTATTATTCAGTTAATATTTATTTATTTTATTTATTTTCGCATAAAAAAAAAGAAGAAATAATAATATAAACTTACTTTTCCTGTAGTTGTCTCGCCATTGATAATTTGAGTTGCACCAAACCAAAAAGCCAAAGCATACATTGAATTCAAAATAAAATCATTAGTACCCATACTTAAACTATTAAAAGTATTGGATTTTACGCCAGATGATTTAGCATCTTCTAATTTAGAATCATAAAGTTTTGAAACATTTTTTTGTTGAGAAAATGCGACAGTTGTTCTAATTGTAGATATTGATTCTTCTGCTATAGTAGAAGATTTAGAATAATAATCTAAAACCTTTAGTTTATAATTAACTATAAGTCTATTAAATATTCCACCATTTAACATTATCAAAGGAAATTCAACAAAGATTACTAAGGTCATTTTCCAATTTATTATAAATGCTATAGTAAAAGACGCCAAAAATTGCACTAAAAACTTTTTTAAAAAAAAGAAAAAAAAAATTATTTAGTTAGTGGTGCAGTAAAGAAAAAAGGGCGTACCCATCAAAAAATGTCCGGCATAAAGTGTGGAACGCATGTGACATATATACAGTATAGCATGTGTTTCACTACTGAAAAAATTCCAAATATCACGTGATTTTCGTGACATTTTTTGAGGAGTACGCAGTGGAAATCAGAAAAAATGGGTTAAAAGATTTTTAAAGAACTTACGGTAAATGCCATTGAAACTTTTTCACTAATACCATCTTGAATTAAATTAGTATCATTAGTAATTCTCGTAGTAACTTCACCAGCACCAAGTTTATCAAAATAAGCGATATCTTGTCTTAATACCGCACGTAAATATTGTTCACGAATCCTTCGAGTAATTCTATTAATATATAAAAATATATGTTTATATTAATTAAGACAAGATAAAAGAAAGAGTGATATTAATTTGCTGATTTTTACCTTTCACCAGTTGCGATCCAACATGCCATATAAAAATAACTGGTAATAAAAGTAACTATAGCAAAATAAACGAAAAAAGTTGTAAAATAATTGGCTTTATTTAAGAATTCATCTTTAGAGATTTGTTTGGTTTGAAATTTATAAAAGTAATCAATTAATTGTCCGAAAACAACTGTTATCAAAGGCTAGATAAAGAAAAAAACAAATATAAAAAATTATAAATTTTTTTAAGAAATTTGTTTAGTTTTTTTTAAAAAAAAAAAAATACTTACGACAATGATACCAGCAATGACAGCACAAATCAAGCCAAATATCATTAAAATCCAATCTTGCTTCGTAGCATGATTATATAATTTCCAATATGATATTTTATAATTTTTCCCTTCCGTGCTCGCATCGTTCGTATCATTGTTAATTTGTACTACCGTAATATCTACGGATGATCCAGTTTCTTTTTCTGTTGTCATTATTAACGTTAACGTTAAATTTTTTCTTAATTTTAAAGATTAAAAAAAATTCCAGAAAAAAAGAATAATTTCAATATTTATAAAAAAAAAAAAAAAAATTTTATCGCTGTTTTCAAAATAGTGTAGTAGGACATATATATTCAGATGAAAAAAGATTGCCAGTAACCCTATAAAAACGAAATGAGTTAAATTTATTTAATATTTGTGCTCATATGTAATAATAATGAATGTCTAAAAAAGCACCATTTTGTTTAAATTTTATTTTTTTTTGTAATAAGACATAAATCGAATTAAATGGTGCTTTTTTAGACGTTTTTTACACATGAACGCAAATATATAACACATTTCATTTTTTATAGGATGATCATATTGGAAATCCCGAAAATACTGGTAAATCATGGTAATTATAGTAATCTAATAATTTTTTTGAAAGCGGCATAATTAGGGCCGATAAAATATTATATAATCTTATCAGACGAATAATGTTTTTATTTTTTTTTTAAAAAAAAAAACTAAATTGAAAAAAGGATTAATGTATATCCAAGTTTTATATTGCGAAAACATTATTATTGTGTCGTTATCAAACAATCAAATGACAATAATTCAAAATGAAAATCTTTGATCGTCATAAAAGAATTACTAAAATGGAACAATTAACACCTATATAAAATAAAATTCATTTATTAATTATGTACAAAAAAAAAAAAATTTAAATGGCAATTTATTGTTCAGTCGACTAAGTCGACTAGGATTTGATGCCCGATATTTTTTATGACACCCAATATCAATTTCGATTGGACAACTATTGGACACTGCAGTATTCCTAATGACCGACGGAACTATAATTCATTGGATGAGGGAATATCGGCTTTTCTATTCCCCATTTAATATTTTGTTTAAGACTTTTTACGTAAATTTTTGAAATCTTAATTTATTCTAATAATTGTTTAATTATTATTAATTATAACAAATAATTATTTTTATAAGTATTTACTATAATAGTAAATAGATAATATTTTTAAGTATTTCAATTGTGAATACTTATCAATAAATTTATCATTTAAATTTATGCATTATTTTTTTTTCTAAGAAGTGTTTTTGGTGATCTTTCGTTAGTAGTATTATCCACTTTTTCATTTAAAGAAGGTGCATAAATACTGTAAAAGTATGACGTTAATTTATATATCACTTTTTTATTAGAAGAAATAGCCTTGACCATATGAGGAGTCGCCCGAAACATGGCTGCACCATGTTGAAAAGCTAAACAATTCCTTGGTATTATTTAATGATTTTATCGGTTCGATTCCCTATAAGAAATCTGTATATGGAATGGATACGTTTTGTATACATTTTATGTACGTTTCTATAGATTCCGTATACAAATTCCGTATATTTAATAAGAAATTCATTTTTGAACATTTTTTTAAAAAACTAACGTATACGAAATGTATACGGAAAAAATCAATAATGCGGAATGTATACGGAATTTTTAAGCTTAATATTTTAGAAAATAATTTTACAATCATTACACGTGATCACGTGATTGTTTATTGTTTTGTTATGATACGTTTTTTTGTTTTTTATATAAACCCTTAACAATTACTTTGATCTTCCTTTTGGTCTTTCCTTTCTTTTGTCTTTTGTTATTTTGTTTTTTTTTTTATTTTAAAAAATTTTTCTTTCTTTTTTCTTCGTCACCTCCCTTTACAAAGAGATTTTTTTTTCGTCACTCTCCTTTAAAAAAAATTTTTTTTTTCATCACTCCTTTAAAAAATTTTTTTTCATCACTCTCCTTTTAAAAAAAAATTTTTTTCGTCACTCCTTTAAAAAAATTTTTTTCATCACTCTCCTTTTAAAAAAAAATTTTTTTCGTCACTCCTTTAAAAAAATTTTTTTTTGACTTTATTCTTTTATTCCCCACTCACCGCCCTTTCCTTTTTTTTTAAAAAAAAAATTTTCTTTCTATTCTTTATAAAAAATTTTTTATTTTTCTAACTTTGACATCCTCCCTTTTTTTTTAAAAAAAATTTTTTTAACTTTCCTAACTTCGTCACCCCTCTTTTTAAAGAAAAATATTTTTTGATTTGTTCTTTTATTCCCCACTCACTACCCTTTCTTTTTTATTTATATTATCTCTTTTTTTTATAGGCCAACAGATTTTTTTTGAAAGTTTCTTTTTTCTTTTTTTTGTAAATTAGTTTGGGAGTCCTTTTCTTTTTGTAGGATGGTACAGGATTTTTTCTTTTTTAGGTCAGTTCAAATTTTCTTTTTTCTTTGTAAGTTTGGTTCAGATTCTGGATTTTTTTCTTGTAAGTTGTTTTGGTTTCTTTTCATCAGACGTTTTATGATTCTTTTCTTTTATGTAGGTCAGACATTTTGGAGTTCTTTTTCTTTTTTGTAGGAATACTGACCCTTGGTGACTTGGACGATTGCAGATACTATATGAGGG